AGGTCAGTACTTGTGACTCTGTTTCAGACTCGCCTCACGCTGCTGAAGAATCTTCTGGAGAAACATGGAAACCCTCTGACGCACAGAGAGCTGAGCCAGCTCGCCAGGTCAGCACGCACTCATTAAACCTTTATTTACATTCATTTAACTAACAGAGACTTTATTTCTTTTTTTGTGTTTCATTGAATGTTTTTGTGTTTTACGAGATATTTTTGCATTACACAAACATGGTTTCATTAAAGGAGACATATTATGAAGAATCCACTTCTACAGTGTGAACATATATGTGTGTAACCTGAGAGTCTACTGACCCACAACATGTGAAATAAACCCATCCAGTCCTTTGTCTGTGGTCTGCATAAGTCTTACAACACAGAGAAAAATGCTCTGTTTCTAATGTACTCTCCTTGTGATGTCACAGTGGGATTCTGGTAAAAAAAAAATCCCCTCCCCTCCCCTGGTATCTCCACCCATGGACTCCACCCCCAGCCTAGAACAAAACTTTTGAGCAGGTCGGCCATTTTTATTCTCTCTACAGAGGAGTGATGTCTACGGGGAAAACTCAGGGAGGGAGGGGTCATTGAATTTAAAGAGACACACACACCAAAACGGAGCGTTCTGAGAGAGCTGGTTTATACAGGGTCACAAACCTCCTCTGGTGCTTGATTCATGTTATATTTTGACCAAAGCACAGCACAGATGTTTCATTTAGACCACAGGGGACTGTTTGAAAAGATGGAGGAGGGGACTGTTTGAAAAGGTGGAGGGGGGCTGTTTGAAAAGGTGGAGGAGGGGACTGTTTGATAAGGTGGAGGAGGACTGTTTGAAAAGGTGGAGGAGGGGACTGTTTGAAAAGGTGGAGGTGGACTGTTTGGAAAGGTGGAGGAGGACTGTTTGAAAAGGTGGAGGAGGACTGTTTGAAAAGGTGGAGGTGGACTGTTTGGAAAGGTGGAGGAGGACTGTTTGAAAAGGTGGAGGAGGGGGGTGTTTGAAAAGGTGGAGGAGGAGGACTGTTTGAAAAGGTGGAGGAGGGACTGTTTGAAAAGGTGGAGGAGGAGGACTGTTTGAAAAGGTGGAGGAGGACTGTTTGAAAAGGTGGAGGAGGACTGTTTGAAAAGGTGGAGGAGGACTGTTTGAAAAGATGGAGGAGGACTGTTTGAAAAGGTGGAGGAGGACTGTTTGAAAAGATGGAGGAGGACTGTTTGAAAAGGTGGAGGAGAGGGGTGTTTGAAAAGGAGGAGGAGGGGGGTGTTTAAAAAGGTGGAGGAGGGGGGTGTTTGAAAAGGTGGAGGAAGGGGGTGTTTAAAAAGGTGGAGGAGGAGACTGTTTGAAAAGGTGGAGGAGGGGACTGTTTGAAAAGGTGGAGGAGGAGACTGTTTGAAAAGGTGGAGGAAGGGGGTGTTTAAAAAGGTGGAGGAGGACTGTTTGAAAAGGTGGAGGAGGAGACTGTTTGAAAAGGTGGAGGAGGGGACTGTTTGAAAAGGTGGAGGAGGGGGGTTGTTTGAAAAGGTGGAGGAGGACTGTTTGAAAAGGTGGAGGAGGGACTGTTTGAAAAGGTGGAGGAGGAGACTGTTTGAAAAGGTGGAGGAAGGGGTGTTTAAAAGGTGGAGGAGGACTGTTTGAAAAGGTGGAGGAGGACTGTTTGAAAAGGTGGAGGAGGGGACTGTTTGAAAAGGTGGAGGAGGGGGTTGTTTGAAAAGGTGGAGGAGGACTGTTTGAAAAGGTGGAGGAGGGGGGTGTTTGAAAAGGTGGAGGAGGACTGTTTGAAAAGGTGGAGGAGGACTGTTTGAAAAGGTGGAGGAGGGGGGTGATATGTCCTCTTTAAGCGTTTTTGCATTTTGCAGTTGACCTTCAGGGCCACCGTACCCCAACATTCAGTGTGTGAGATAGCTTCATGTTGAAGGCGTCATACTGCTCTTTACCTCCAGCAGGGGGTGATGTCACACTCTGTTTCTCTGTTTCTGATTGGTTTAGAATGACGGAGGGATACTCCGGCAGTGACCTCACCTCATTGGCTAAAGACGCCTCTCTGGGACCAATCAGAGGTGAGATACAGTCAACACACATGGCACAGCTGTGGTTCCTCTGCATGTAGGAAATGACTTTTATTTTGTTACATTTTCAGAGGAGACAGTATCTCTGTCAGCTCATTATTGATGCACTTTATTTTGAAAGGATGAAGTGTAATGTGTGTGTGTGTTTGTGCAGAGCTACGTCCAGAGCAGGTGAGGAACATGAAGGCCAGCGAGGTGAGTACACTCAACAATTACTGAGACCTGGTACTGATCCTAACTAACAGGTCTTCATGCTGAGACCTGGTACTGATCCTAACTAACAGGTCTTCATGCTGAGACCTGGTACTGATCCTAACTAACAGGTCTTCATGCTGAGACCTGGTACTGATCCTAACTAACAGGTCTTCATGCTGAGACCTGGTACTGATCCTAACTAACAGGTCTTCATGCTGAGACCTGGTACTGATCCTAACTAACAGGTCTTCATGCTGAGACCTGGTACTGATCCTAGCTAACAGGTCTTCATGCTGAGACCTGGTACTGATCCTAACTAACAGGTCCTCATGCTGAGACCTGGTACTGATCCTAGCTAACAGGTCTTCATGCTGAGACCTGGTACTGATCCTAGCTAACAGGTCATCAGACCGGGACCTGGTACTGATCCTAGCTAACAGGTCTTCAGACCGGGACCTGGTACTGATCCTAGCTAACAGGTCATCAGACCGGGACCTGGTACTGATCCTAGCTAACAGGTCTTCAGACCGGGACCTGGTACTGATCCTAGCTAACAGGTCATCAGACCGGGACCTGGTACTGATCCTAGCTAACAGGTCTTCAGACCGGGACCTGGTGCTGATCCTAGCTAACAGGTCAACAGACCGAGACCTGGTGCTGATCCTAGCTAACAGGTCAACAGACCGGGACCTGGTACTGATCCTAGCTAACAGGTCAACAGACCGAGACCTGGTGCTGATCCTAGCTAACAGGTCAACAGACTGGGACCTGGTACTGATCCTAGCTAACAGGTCAACAGACTGGGACCTGGTACTGGGTCCAATTAGTGATTATTTTCTGTTTCCTCCTCAGGTCAGGAACATCTGTTTCAGAGACTTTGTCGACTCTCTGAAGAAGATAAAGAGCAGCGTCGGCATAAAGACGTTGGAGCTTTATGTCCGCTGGAACAGAGACTACGGAGACACGACGGCTCTGTGACCGCCACAACAACCTCGTTTTTAATCACCACCTTTTTTTCAGAATCTTTGCACGAATGTTTCTACAAGACAAAGAATCGTTCTCGTCTTTCTTTGTTTCTCTTCATGTTCTCTTGACCTTTTTCTTGTCACTGAACTGTGTTTGTAGCTATTATATTTAAATAAATCTCTTTTTTTTACACTATTTAAAATGTGATTATTTACAAAGTTTGTTGCCTCAGAGCCTGTGGTGAAAGAAGTTGCAGTTCCTCCAGTGTCCACTAGAGTCTGTCTCCTGCAGTGAGTCAGTCCCCATAGAGCCCCATGTTAAAATGTACAACTTTACAGCTGCAGTTCCTCCAGTGTCCACTAGAGTCTGTCTCCTACAGTGAGTCAGTCCCCATAGAGCTCCATGTTAAAATGTCCAACTTCACAGCTGCAGTTCCTTCAGTGTCCACTAGAGTCTGTCTCCTGCAGTGAGTCAGTCCTCATAGAGCCCCATGTTAAAATGTCCAACTTCACAGCTGCAGTTCCTCCAGTGTCCACTAGAGTCTGTCTCCTGCAGTGAGTCAGTCCTCATAGAGCCCCATGTTAAAATGTCTAACTTTACAGCTGCAGTTCCTCCAGTGTCCACTAGAGTCTGTCTCCTGCAGTGAGTCAGTCCCCACAGAGCCCCATGTTAAAATGTCCAACTTTACAGCTGCAGTTCCTCCAGTGTCCACTAGAGTGATCATCATCGTAGAGCTGCTCCGTGCTATGTACGACGGGTGAGCGTATTGCATCACTTCCTGTTCTCCACTGTTCTGTCTTGCTCAGTGCTGATCGTTAGAGCTAAAAGCTTAATTGTTAATTTTGTCTAGTTTCTTACGACTGTTGTTTCCAACACACTGTACGTTCAGACAAACAGAAGTAATCGAAAAGCACTCATTCTCTCTAGCGACAAACCTGCTTCACAATTTTGTTTATTTTAGCTACCTACTCTTAGCTTAGCTTAGCAGTTAGCTTTACAATGGCTTCTTTATCTGTCTCTCCCTCTCCTGCTCTCTCCTGCTCTACGTGTCAGATGTTAAGTTACTCCTCATCCTCCTTTAGTGATAATGATATGAGAAATGTAGTTTATTTTTAGCTTTGGAGGCGAGGGTGTCTGAGTTAGAGAGACGGCTCCGCACCATTGAGTCAGAGTCATCGTATGCAGCAGTAGTTAGCCAGCCACCTGTAGCCGGTGTGGGCCGACATAGCTTGGCTTCCCCCCCGGTAGCTCCCGAGCAGCCGGGAGGCGGTGGCTGGGTTACTGTCCGAGGGAAGCATAGTCGAAAATCGAAGCACACGGTTCCCCACCAACCACTTCACTTTTCAAACTAATTTTCCCCACTCAGCGACACACAGAGAATAAAACTCTGATTATTGGAGACTCCATCGTCTGAAACATGAAGCTAGCGAAGTCAGCGGGCATAGTTAGTTGTATCCCCGGGGCCAGAGCGGGCGACATCGCATCTCATTTAAAGTTGCTGACAAAGACTAAAGGTAGATTTGGTACAATCGTAATTCATGTCTGCACTAATGACTCCCGACTACGCCAATCGGAAGTCACTAAGGTTAATGTGGAGTCGGTGTGTACTTTTGCTAAGACGATGTCGGACTCCGTAGTGTTCTCTGGACCCCTCCCAAATCAGACCAGTGATGACATGTATAGCCGCATGTCATCACTCAACCACTGGCTGTTGAGGTGGTGTCCAGCACACGATGTGGGCTTCATAGATAACTGGCAGTCTTTTTGGGGAAAACCTGGTCTGCTAGCTAGAAACGGCATCCATCCCACTTTGGACGGTGCAGCTCTATTATCTAGAAACATAGCAGAGGTTATTAGTCCAAAACCTTGACAACAACACAGAGTTCAGACCAGGAGGCAGAGCTGCAGTCTTACACTTAGATCTGTCTCCCAGTCACTATAGCTGTAATTCTGAATCGAACTGTAGTTATACTATAGGTACTGTGTCTGTCCCCCGGCACAGACCCGTTTTTGTAAGTCATCCATACGGCGTAAATCGTCAAAATCTCATTAGAATCAAAACTACGAATACGATTTTGCAAAGAAATCTGAAAATTCACTGCAGACTTTTGAACATTAGGTCCTTAGCATCCAAATCTCTTATAGTGAATTATATCAGATCAGCATATTGATTTACTTTGTTTAACTGAAACCTGGCTGTGTCGAGATGAATATGTTAGTTTAAATGAATCCACTCCTCCCAGTCATTTTAGTACTCATATACCTCGAGACACCGGACGAGGTGGTGGAATAGCAGTTATTTTTAATTCTAGTCTTCTAGTTAACCCTCAATCAAAGCTGAATTTTTCTTCTTTTGAAAGCCTTGTTCTTAGTCTTTCACATCCAGTCTCAAGATTCTTTCAGCCAGTTCTAGTTGTTGTAGTTTACTGCCCTCCTGGCCCATATTTTGAGTTTCTATATGAATTTGCAGAATTTTCATCAGATTTAGTCCTTAGCACTGATAAAATAGTTGTTGTAGGTCACTTAAATATCCATGTGGATGTTGATAATGATAGCCTTAGCACAGCTTTCATGTCATTATTAGACTCTACTGGTTTCACCCAGGGTGTAAACGAACCTACTCATCGTTTCAACCACACCCTGGATCTTGTTTTAGCTTATGGCATTGAAATCCAAAACCTTACAGTTTCCCGAGAAAATCCTCCTCTATCAGACCATTTCCTTTATTACTTTTGACTTTGTCCTACCAGAATTATCTCTGCTTAATAAAAATGTGCTCTCTAGAAGTTTATCTGATAGTGCTGTAGCTAGATTTAAGGAAGCTATTTCAGCTGCTTTTGATTCAGTACCGTGTTTCAACCCAGTTGGAAACTCTTATGATAGCTTTAGTCCCTCTCAGCTACATAGATCAGTTTGTTGATAGTGCAGTGGATTCCCTGAGAGTTACTCTTGATTCGATTGCTCCCCTAATCAAACGGCAGAGAATAGCACCATGGTTCAACTCAGAAACCTGTACTCTAAAACAATCGTTGCGAAATTTTGAAAGAATATGGCGCTCAACCAAAACGGTAGAATCTCGTTTATTCTGGCAGGATAGTCATAGAAAATATATGAAGGCTCTACATTACGCTCGAGCTGCCTACTACTCCTCTCTAATCGAGGAAAACAAAAGCAATCCTAGATACCTTTTCAGCACTGGAGCCAGGCTGACAGAGAGTCATAGCTCCTTTGAGCCTTGTATTCCTTTAGCCCTCAGCAGTAATGATTTCCTGAGCTTTTTCAACAACAAAATTCTAGACATCAGAGACAAAATTAGTAACCTCCTGCCCTTACCTGGTGCAGATACGTCTGATACGGCAGAGACAGTTCCAGGACCTGATATTAGTCTAGACTGTTTTTCTCCAATCGACCTTTCAGAGCTAAATTCAATTATTTCTGTGTCGAAACCGTCAACCTGTCTTTTAGACCCAATCCCAACCAAGCTGTTCAAGGAAGTCTTTCCCTTAGTTAGCAACTCTATATTAGATATGATCAATTTGTCTTTACTGGCAGGCTATGTACCACAGTCATTTAAAGTACCGGTAATCAAACCTAACCCTCAAAAAACATACACTAGATTCAGGAACTCTAGCTAACTATAGGCCTATATCCAACCTTCCTTTTATCTCAAAGATCCTGGAGAAGGTGGTCGCTAATCAGCTGTGTGACTTTCTCCATGACAACAGTTTATTTGAGGAGTTTCAGTCAGGATTTAGAGTCCACCATAGCACTGAGACTGCACTAGTTAAAGTTACAAACGATCTACTTCTAGCTTCAGACAGGGGACTTCTCTCTGTGCTCGTCTTGTTAGATCTTAGTGCTGCTTTTGACACCATTGACCATCAGATCCTATTATACAGACTAGAACATTTACTTGGAATTACAGGGACTGCTTTAAGTTGGTTTGAATCCGACTTATCAGACCGATCTCAGTTTGTACATGTTAATGATAAGTCCTCTGTGCACACCAAAGTTATCCATGGAGTGCCACAAGGATCAGTGTTTGGACCAATTCTCTTTACATTATATATGCTTCCTCTGGGAAATATTATGAGGAAACACTCCATACAGTTTCATTGTTATGCAGATGATACTCAGCTTTATGTATCAATGAAGCCTGATGGCACCAGTCAGTTATGTAAGCTAGAAACATGCCTTAAGGACGTTAGGACCTGGATGACCAGACATTTTTTGCTACTTAACTCAGACATGACTGAAGTTATTGTGCTAGGCCCTAAAAACCTCAGAGACTTTTTCTAATGATGTGTCTGTCCTTAATGACATCAGCCTGGCATCTAGCACTACTGTTAGGAATCTAGGAGTTGTATTTGATCAAGATATGTCCTTTGGCTCTCACATCAGGCAAATTTCAAGAACAGCCTATTTTCACCTTCATAATATATCTAAGATCCGGAATATCCTGTCGCAAAATGATGCAGAAAAACTAGTTCATGCATTTGTTACCTCCAGATTGGATTATTGTAATTGTCTTTTGTCAGGGTGCTATGGTGGGTCTCTAAAGACTCTTCAACTAGTCCAGAACGCTGCAGCTCATGTACTGACTAGAACTAGGAAAAGGGACCACATTACTCCTGTGTTGGCTTCTCTGCACTGGCTCCCTATACAGTCTAGAATAGAATTCAAGATCCTTCTTCTCACTTACAAAGCTCTAAATGGCCAGGCACCATCTTATCTTAAGGAGCTGCTAGTGCCGTACTGCCCCTCGAGAACATTACGGTCTCAGAATGCAGGCCTACTAGTGGTACCTACAGTCTCTAAATGTACTATAGGAGGTAAAGCCTCCAGTTATCAGGCTCCTCTCCTCTGGAATCGCCTTCCAGCCGGGGTCCAGGAGGCAGAGACAGTCTGTATTTTTAAGAACAGACTTTCCTTTTTGATAAATCTTATAGTTAGGGCTGGTTCTCTTGCTCTCTCTCTCGCTGTGTATATACAGTACATCATATTACTGCATGTATCTATCTGTAAATCTCAGTCACTAACCACCTACTTTCCTGGGAGCTCTTGAGCTCTCTTAGGCTCCTCGAGCTCATTGGTTGACAGCCGGCCAGAACAACCCCCCCCCTTCCAACGGATTGGACGGCTTGCCTGAACTGTGTGCTCATGATGGATAGGCCAGGTCTTTGTAACATAACAAT